CAGTATTGGGTCCCAGTAAATCTATTTATTCATTTCTTCCGGGACGCTATAGTAACTCAGGCCATCGGGTACACTAAATCCCCGTATCCATCAAGCTACACAAATCAATAAAAATGAAACTACTGAACACGGCTGATGCAGTGCAATAAGAACTGAATGTCATCCACTGTGAAAAATGGCAGGAAAGTCACCTATAAATTCACGATGAACAACCTACCCCATCGATTTGAATTGGATAAAACCTCAACTATCCTTTAGGGGAATCAGATTATGTATCATCTTGAGCTCGATGACAAAAACGGAATAGTATTTCAAATGAGCATCAAACAATGACTGATTTTGATACATATGATGTAAAGCAAGACACACTGAAATAATTTAGATAAAGTCGTAGGCCAACTTTAAATGCGATGGAAATGTTTGTGACGGCCGTCAAAGAGCATAGGACAGCTGCTTCGCCCTGTTTGGGGACTCGTCAGCGGTGCGTTTTTTGTGTCACTGTCAGGACTCGAACCACGTTTCTTCGGGTTGGAACTTCAAATCCTTACTCTTAAGCTACACGGTCGATGGTCATCACCTTATGCGAATGGCTCAATCCATTTAGACGGTGAATGTTTGGAATAGCCCATTCCGTTTTTCACAGGCACCACTCACTGTTGATCATCTTGGGGAAGGGTCTGAAGTCCCAGCCCGAAGAATCGCGGTTCGAGTCCTGACAGGGATAAAAAAAGTACGCACTGCTGACGAGTCCCAAACAGGACGAAACAGTTGTCCAGTGCTCTTGGTCTGTTATCACAAACATTTCCATCGCATTTAAATGCACTCAACTAGTGGGGAATTAGCGATCTTTCAAGGAGTGAAACCCACAGTTAAGCTCATCAACAGCGCCTGGTACCCGTGAAAAACCGAATGGGCTAATCCAAACATTCACCGTCTAAATAGGATAACTTTCTTGTATGACTTTGATGACAATAACCGAGAACACGTTGCTCATAACCACAATCTGCGATTGCAATCTAAAGTTTGCAAACACGATGTATCACCACATATGCTTCGGACACCGCAAACGCTGTGTTCTCAGTTTATCACAAGCGAATGCGCTCACCCGTCGGATAATCGGCACAATCTTCCAAGGTTAACGGCATCCGCAGCAAAACATTGATCTGAGCGGAAGCTTGAGCACTCGCAAAAACAGGGTCAATAGAACGATTTGTCACTGGATTACAACACCGCACAACCAGTCTCTCCACAGTTCCTGCCGTTTCAGCAGACGGGTATGAAGTTCGATAGACCGTTAGCTTCTGAATTTGTGATGTTGCAGGCGAAGGCTGTAGAGAGAGAGAGAATTATAGAAAAAGTGACTAATGCAGTTAGTGTTACACTGATTAAAGAGAACACATTAAAGTACATTTCAGATATTTGAATTTCATTTGGACCTATATTGCATGAAGTGCTATCAACTTCACCCCGAAAGTTCCGTAATTGGTCTTGACAACCAAACAAACCATTTAAATCAAATTCGGTGTGATGATGAGGAAGTGAGTCTAAACGGACTTCGACTGTGATATGACTTAACTGATTTATCTCAGTAAATCTGTTTCTGGAATGCGAAATGCCATTAGCTCCACTCCAAGTGTTCATAGCTTTCCACATAAGTCGTATGACTCACTCATGTCCCAGATGTGTTAGGTAATGCTCAGTTATTCACTTTACCGGGGGTCATACATCGTGCTTAAGCCCATGGACCCGTCCATTATCGAGACAGTTGAATAGCACGGAAATCAAGTTTATCTATCCGAGGTGGAGTAAGGAAACATTCTTACAAACTACTTCGACACCAGTAAACACAAGATTCATGAAAAACTGCACAGATCATCACCATTTGTTCGTAATCTTTTGTTGAATTCATATCAGTATAAACCAAAAAACAACAACAGAGGAATTCTACAAAAAGAACCTCCGATCAAGACACGGAACATCTTCTATGTGCTGCTTCAAATCAGGTACCAAATGCGTCGAAGTCACCATTACAATTAGGCATGCATGTGAGTTGCACTTGGCAGTTGGTACGAACTAAGCTAAATTTACAATTCAGGAAGATGTAATTAGTGCCATGGATAAAATACCGTCATATTGATGATCGCCTTGCCTACACTTCTGAATTGAACGACGTGATAGCTAGTGATGAGAAAAAGGTTAAAATCAGCGGTCCTGATAAACTAATGTTCTACCGGCACAACTTACTTGTAAAAAAGTTCTTCAGTCATCGCGTTTACAGCGGAGGTTCTGTCATGGCTTGGGTTTCTATTTTTACTGTTGGAAAGTTTCAGTTCGCACACGGTATGAACTCAAACGTGTGATATATATATATACATAAGTTCACAAAGGAAATCATTCAGATGAATCTCACGTCAAAACCTCGAAAAGAGTTTCTTCTTTCCGCGATTGGCAACCAAGATTTGGAAGCACGAAAGTCCCTCTACACATGGAGCTCACCTCACTGTAGAATGTGGTTGCAGGACTGGAACATCCAGACCACGGACCGATTAACCCAAAACTCGGATTTGAACACCGCTGAAGATGTCTGGGTTCTGGCGACGAGGCGGATTTGAGAGCATGGGAAGGTACTACAAATTGACCACTAATTAAAGACAGTTATCCCTAAGAAAACAGTGTAGCGAACAAAGCTTGTTTTTGATAACTTCCTCCTCAGGCTAATATAGTTATATGTAGGGTTCAAAATTGTCAAATCAATGTAATGATCAGTTATCCTTCACGAATGATGAAATTTCCAAGTGAAAAAATCCAAAGCCTAATAAAAAGTATGCCTGAATGGGATGTTTCAATCATGAACAATAAATTCCCGTGAGCTTAAGATATTTTTATCATATTCCTCGAGTAGGTTTGAAAAAGTTCGCACTCCAGAAGCACTTTTACTAAGATAAACCAGTTAAGTCCAATCATCATCAAAATCCGTTTGGATTCTCTACACGCTAATGAGTTACATCATGATCACACCAAAGCTGATCAGTCTGTTTTGTTTGGTTGTCAAGAGAAATTACGGAAATTCCGGGATGAGTTTAATAGCATTTCGTGCAATATATCATCACGATATATCCGTACGTTTTTATTCACTCTTCAACATTACTAATAACAAGTAATGACCCAATCACATGTATGTACTTCGTGAATAATTGTGATTTGCCAAACAATCCAAATTTCAGCAATCAATTGAAAAATAATATCAATATATTTCATGAAAGACAACTTTCGATTGTGTGCTCGATGAATCATTTAGTTCAAAATGACAGTCATATCTAGGCTTGCACTGCTATCGGGATCTTTCTCTTGGTGCTCTACTTCTTTCGTCGACAATATCGTGTTCCCTCATCGTTGCTCAAATCCGCGAAGCGTACACCATTGGACGAGATAAGGTAAAATCACAGTTTATGCGGAACTCAAGGGAACCAAATTTTACTCTGTTAAAAGGTCACAGATCACCATTGTGTGTTCAAACGTCGGGCGACCATAGATCACTCATCAACGAATGAATGACCGATAGTTCATTGAAATACTGGAAAAACTCGTATTTCGGTCTTAGATTACAGGGATTTTCGTGGTGGATTTAAATGGACACTGTGCAACAGAGTTCTCTTCCGCAGATACATAGCCTGAGGAAACTCTGATTCGAAAGTTTGATACCTTTGCTAGATTTGACCAGCCGTTTAGAAAAGAATGATTTTCGGTCATAATCTCACACAGTCACCGTTTTTGCTTTGTTTTGGACCCCAAATGCGAGATCTGTAGTATATAGGTAAGAAACAGTGGTAAGGAATCAGTCTTTGCATGCCGGAAAGGTTTTGGAGGTTAAAAATAACAGCGAAATGTGGTTCGACCCAGACTGCATGCTCCGGGAAAACTTCTGGTTACCTGATTCATTCCGATTGGATTACTGGGAGGTTTTCACACTCGTGACTCATCACCACCGTTGAATGCCTCCAACCGGTTCACTGCAAATACCGTTGAAATTCTGTCCTTGCATAGAAACTTGCTACACTTCTACCTGCGTAGCATTTCCAAATCATTCCCATAGTTTTCTTTATTTTGACCGATGATCACAATTGCAAAGTAGAGCATACGGCGAAATCGACGATAAGTTTTTCATACTGATGACTCTGCTTTATGTGGACCACTTTGGGGAGAGTTACCGTGTAGAGCCAACAAAAGATTTTCTGAGGGGTTGGGGAACACTCCATCATTTCTGCTCGAAGTTCTTAACGGTGAATTCTCACCGAACCCACTGGGGTTGGAACCCCAGCATGAATTGCGGTTGCAGCTTACTTCAGAGAGGAAAACAGACAAGTCTCAGTTTTCCGGTGGACGAGCAACTGGTCCAGCCAGATGGTCTCTATACGATTTGTAGACACATTTTTGTTGAAATGAACGACTGTGTCGAGGAATAATAATCGTCCAGCGAGTTAAGGGCAGCATCATCCATACACAGGCTTCGACGAACTGCTTGTTTAGGATATATATCACCGGCTTAAAAACAAGCACAGTGCCCACACAACAACACTTTCTGATATAATTGTGTGTTAATTCATCGTTTTTACGCGACACGGACGGACCGCACAGCATTCAAGCTGCTGACTTCTATCCTAGGTCATATCTCTTAGCGTCCCTGACCAACGACAATCCTCTCCTTTTGGGATCCAACCTGAAAGGTGGGCTGCACCAATAGAAGCCAAAGCGCAAGCTAGCTATTAATTCGACCTCGACTTTAAACTAGTTTAATAGTTCTCCAGAAACGTACTGATGCACGTAGATAGGTTTTAATCGTAAGCACAGCAAGGTTGATGAAACCTCAAAGAATTCCGGAACATTCAGTGTGAAACTTGAAATTACCTGAAAAACCACATTGGTTGGCGTAATGATCCATGATCCAGCTCCTGAAACCAAACGTAATTTGGTCTGAACATCAGCAATATCAAGATAAGATACAGAACATGGATTCGCACTATATAACACTAGCTTTCGAAACTGTGGATACAATAACGTATATCGCATGAAATATATTATAGGACTGTTTTGGGATAAATAAACACATCAGTGGTTCAAGGCAAAATGTCTGTTGCATATTCATTCTCTCAGAGGATGTTATTTATAAAGAACTGGGGTAGAACTGATGCAACATAACATTTTCGGTAAACAGTTCATAATTTGAAGGGATAATGTTTGCAACTAACGAGAAGTAAAAATTATTCCCTATCTCCAGGCAGTTTTGTTGTGGAATACATGCAAACGTCAATCTATGGCTATTTCGGTTATTCCCCGAAAAGATTTTCCAATGCTTATCGTTTTTAGAGTATTCATGTATCTCATTCGCTTGGAATAGCCCGCATATTCAATTTGACTGCACGACAGTCAATTAGATGTGGTGTATAACACTATCAGTTGAACGGTTTATGTGAAGCAAAATTTATCCAGTGGGAGAGTGATCCCGAGGATAGATCCGGAAGCAGGAAGAAAGAGAACAGAGAGGTAGCAGTTATTTACATAACAAGATAGTCAGTTTACGGGTTTATCAATATGGGAAAGTGTATGTGTATGCGGGGGTAAATTAAACCGATAAATGTGAAATGTAGTTAGATAGAAATGAGCTACCGAAAATAAATTGTTATTAGTGAATAACTGATAATCAATCTTACAATCGTACGACATACTACATGTTCTATCATTCCATTTAGTGACAAATAACATTCTAAAATATCAGACGCAATTTATCATCTAAAACGGTTTAAACCATTTCAAATCTAATCCTTAGAATTTGATTTGTATTCAGAATAGTGATAAAAAACCAACAAAGTGCATCACTGTCAAATTTATTTTTCTTTTGTTGCTGATTCTAAACGAAATGCCTACCGGTTCCGTCCGATTCTGAACACTGAGTACTGCTGACCAATGGATCTGTCTGTTGTGTCATATTGATCAATTTCAAGCCACAGATAAGATTCAAGTCGTTGTACAAGCCATTCACAGACAGAAGGAGCTGAAAACATATCAACGGATGAATAATGTATGACAAAAACTAACAAACAAAGACTTCGCATTGTACACCAGCACCCAAACAAGACAATATGTATAATGGGTATTAATCAAATATTGTTTGTTTGTAAAAACTGATATATTTATTGCTTTTTTATTGATGAGTCAATCGTTTTGATTCAAACTTCAATATCCGTTTTCAAAAATGAGTGAATTATATCAAATGAGTGACTCAAATCTCAGGAAGTCGCCATTCCATCGAATTAGAAGCTGAGGTTTTTACGGGCTTTTCCTCATTTAGAAAATAAAAATAAACAGTTCAGGTTTTATTCTGTTTTGGCTGTCCCTTGCTGAAGAGGTCAGAATTTCCACACTATTGAAACATGGAAAACTGAAGACGGATCAGAGAAATATTGAAAACCATACAAACGGCAGTTTTCAGGTCATGCCACTTTACGCATGACTGAACATTCACGCGCTGTAAAATCTCTGCTTTATAGAGGTCATTAAAAAAACAATATTCAGGGCTTTGTGGCAGAAAGAACGGTCGTACAACGTAAACCGAATACGATACGCTCATCGCGAACGTTCCCTTTCGGTAAACAGTTCATTAAAAACGGAAACTACTCATGAGTAGTACGGTGGTGTATGTAAATATTGGTGTGATGCCAAACAGCTGAAAACAACAGGCAGTGTTAACAAAAATTCACGACTACAGTTAGGGTACTTTTTTCGAAAACCGCATAAAAATGACGAACTAAACATGGGTACCAGCGAAAATGAATAAAAGATGAATAATTCAGTGCGGGTGGCATTCAAACCGAAAATAATTTACTTCGGTTTTTGTTGAATACACATTGGACTTTTGAGGTATGAGGTGGATTCGCCCATTTTCACTGATGAAGTCGCTGCTAATACCTAAAATGCGTGTGATAAGTTAATAAATACTACAGACCAGTGGATGAAGCACTTTGATATTGCAATCCCTTCATGGACTGACCGCTACAGATGATCGCTGCCCATGAGTCCGCACCAGCAGAGGCAACTCGTACTGATACCTATTCATGAAATGAAGACGGTTATAAAATGAGAAAGAAAAGCTTACCGATTTTTGTGAATATCCCACATTTACGGAGTCTCGCAGTTGCTTCACAGTCATGTCTGTTAATAGTAGGGAAAATGTGCTATACTACTAGACGGGGTGATAATCCACATAATGGAGATATAAGATACACTGCAACTTTACAAGCACTGAAGGCGTTAATTCAGCTGAGGATGAAACGTTTGCAAACAAATTTCCAAGCTCGACAAACAAGTAAAAATAAATAACTGACAATAGTGGACTCATAATTGGCATTGATCGTGTTTTAATTCAAATGAGAAGTTAAATAAAATATTGATTTTCCTAGATGGGATTTTAATCAATATTGATCCTGTAAAAAACAATAATTGAGTTTCAAATCAAAATAATCTCTTTCATCAACAACAGAAGACATAAGTGAGCAGAATTGATATTGGCCATCAATTTTGCGTGCTCTCATTCAGTTGTTGTTGATGAAATGGATAAAGGGAAAAGGATGTTTCACAAAATAATCTCTGTCGAATTGTTCATTTACTCGACCATTGAGTTTCGCCTCAAACATGGTCTAGTCCTGAGGTAGCGTGACTGAAAACTTGATACAATTCAAAATTGTAATTCTGGAGAAGTTTAAGAATAATCGCTATCTATCTTTCTGCATATTGAGTTTCACTCAAGGGGAACAAATTTAAAGGCGATTCACTTGTCTTGAATGAAAGTCATCGCAAAATGTCATCGAATGTGTCATTTCTCTGGTTTAGAAGATTTTTGTATAAACGATCCCTATTACAAGTGTGTGCATTAAAACTGTTTTCTGCATGGTTGGGATATTTTGTGGATAATTCAGAATCGACTATTAAAAGTTGACACGAGTCCATTATTAAACAAGATAGTACAATTCACTAAATTTGTACAAGCATATTGCCATCGTCCAGTCTTATTTTATGAGTGGTCGGAGACAATCGGAACCCCACCGGTAACTGGGAGAAGGATCACAATACCCCGATCAGCAAGTATACCAGTTTGTCTACAGTGAGCTTCAAAAGAAAGAGTGGACTTTATCAGGTACAAGAAAAGTTAATCTGATCACTTCACAGGAGAACGATTGAATAGCATGTTTATTTTACGGGTTAGTGAAACTTTCTTTAAAATCTGGAGTGTATGAATCGAAGAGTTATTTAAATGTATGGCCGATTGTCTGAAGAAAAATCTTACTGCTTTACGAATCAACCAACCAATCAACTACGTGTCAAAGCGTACTGGGTATAAACAGCTCACTTGCTTACTTGATTGAACGCTCGAAGTACAAGTGACCGCAACGGCATCGTACTGCACCACTTCACTGAACACTTGGGCGATATGCAATTCACTTTACCTACCTCAGTTTCAACAAAAGCGTCATGTGAAACGGGGTTTTTTGCCGTAGAATAACCAGTTTTTTCGGTAGAATATTCACCACCGGTGGTTTGGTGCATTGTAACGTTCTGTATCCGGGGAGTTGTTTCTAGTGCATCTGATGAAAGTTAAGATCTACCCTGAATTTCCGGCAGTTTCTCGACGATTTTTCAAATGACAAAAGAAGAAAACTTCACGACCGAATTTGGTGCACCTGAAGGCGAGTGGATTGATACAATCAACAAAAGGTACCTGAAGGTTATCAAACCATTCGAATTCGTGAAGGATAACAAAATTTCGTTAAATGTTCCCTCACTGTCAGCTGTCGACGTGGTCTGATTCAACGTGCATGTGACCGGGTACTTCGAGCAAGTGAATTAGTGAACAAATATATCTTACTGTAGTAAGATAGGGATCCAATAGTGTGACAGGAACGTAAATGTATCCGAGATTTGTATTGTTTTTATATACCTTGTTATTCGACTGTATGAGGACCACTGAATTGCATATGTCAAAGTGATGCTTCATTCTCACCTTCCCCAAAACAGAATATGGTGTTCATCAACAATGTAAGAACAACTGATAAAGCGAGTTTGTTCAGCATGGAGCATGAAACTTCCTTGTAAGTGAAACAAAAAAATTAAATATTGATAGACATTCCACTTGGGATTGTTCCCTCACTTGCATGTTTTGTCTAATGCTATTATTGTGAAAAACTCAATTCTAAACCGTGTTAAAATTTTCCTCCTAACTCATTCGGAATAATTTGTTCAAATTCGAAAACTAAATACGAATACGGTTAGAAAATAAAAAAATAAATACAACACAATCTAGGTGCACTCACCAATAGGATCAACTCAAAACCGAACAGTTTTCAAAGTACGGCGCATTACAGTTGCCTCTTCGAACATGTTATAAATCATTAGCAGTGTGGACACACACCTAATCCATTGGGATTCGCACCCCGAGCAGATGAGGTTATTATAATCGGAAAAACTAACCCCTTAGAAACTTTGGCAACAAAGGTGAGTGGCGACGCATGTACTCTACTTGACAAATTCTTTTTGATGAACAAACAAATCTACCCAAACCGGTCCATTTAAACATCTGTTTTTGTAACCATGTGCTATTGTTTTCTCAGTGATTATGATAGTCGCGGCGTTCTTCTTGATGTAATACCTTTTCCTCCGTATTTGTTTGGCAACTTCTTAGTTCCGTTTTTCTCTCGATATTCATATTTCCCTACTACCATTTTCAGATTAATTAATGATGCTTTACCACAGTCTAGACAAGTGACTGCTGAGCGGGTTTGAGTCCACTGTATCTCAGAAGAAATATACTTACTGAAAACCATGATCAAGGTACTGCATCCGATTGAGGACTTCCGGATCAACGCGATCCAGGGTTGGATAGAACCAATGATATGATGGAATTTGTAAACTGCGATGCTCATACATCTGCTCATCATCTAAGCACACTTCGTTAAACCGCATTCTGTGTCTTCTTCATCTTGATTCCGCTCTCAACAGGATAAAAAAGACTAGTTTTCTGCCTTATTGTACCAGTTGAGATGCAGGGAGATCTGACATGGCATAAACCGTGCAACCTAGCTTTGTGGTTGTGCTCTATCTTCAGGTTTATTTCGGGGAATAAACGTTCCAACTTTATTTGGCTGTTTATTGACAGACTAAACGGTTAAACGAAAGGCTACAACCGAGACCAGCTCGAACAGTTACGGGTTTATTAGTTGTCCAAACCGAAGCAAGTAGATTGTACTAATTCCGAAATGAAAATAGACAAGACCAAGTCCTATTTACTGTTATTTTGGGTTTATTTACCACCAACCTATGGATTAACTTAAAATTGGGGAGGAGTGCACTACGTTCATATATACGCCATATTGTTCAAACCAAACGATGGAAACAGAATTCAAACAACAAAACACGGCAGTTGAATCATCTATCAGTGCCAATGGGCGGTGGTGGCCCCATGGTAACATCACCAAATTATTACCCCGGGGGTGTGTGTTCCAACCCCACCATCACCGCCTGACTTCCCCATTGTGTGTTGAATGGCAGCCCTTTGATTGGCCGCTTCTCCGTTCCTGAAAACTGTATCTTTATATATTCAATAAAATGAAAAGAATATAGATTCCTACTTTCAACCTCCTTACCCATTCGGACTTGAGATCTATAGCTTTAGTCCACAGGACGACGAATATGAGATGTGAAAAAACTTTTAGTGCTGAGTTCACTTCCTCGGTGAGCTACTTGAAGTATATCACCTACCGTAAAAAACATACCGCATAAGCCAAATGCACTGTCAAATACTATCTCCGTATTCAGTCTGGAAGCGGTTTATGTAGACACTGCGATTTATTACTGCCGATTGCACGGAGTTCTAGTTTGACTGAACTTTGACGAGTGACGGTTTAAAGGCGTTTTTATAATTCTTATTTAATACTTCGTACAATTATCCGATATTTCATCTTTTAATACAGCACTATTTAGTGTACACTTTTTTCTGCTGCTTGGCTATACGTGAATACTGGTGGGTAGCACCTTTCTTGTGACGGGAATCTGTCGGACTGCTTACAGAATATACTATACCAAGTTAGTAGTTGCATAAATCAATGGTTAGGATGCTTCACGATGAGTACATCACATTCTGAAAGAACAGCCCCTAAAAAACATCATGGGTGCCGTGAAAAGAGAACTAGACAAATATTTGCAAATTAAATTAGGATGGTAGGCTTCTATGGCCTGACTGCTCAGCACCCCGGCGCCTTTAAACACTTAAAAATTGAAGTTCAATTGTCTAAGTAAAAGCCGAAGACTAGCATCGATAAGTACATAAAACCTGCTTGACGCAGTATACAAGTGGTTTTACTAAGGCTAAAATAAATTAAGCTTGATGTGGGTAAATAAATAAAAGGTGTGTTCTGATGATGATTTGAGTGTTGTTATACTTAAATTCAATTATTTATAGCTCTATATCCAACGTACAATCATCACCACTATCCCCAGAGAATTAGGTCAGGTCAGATTTCTAGGATAAACAAGTATGTACATAACCTGTATCCAGATTCATACATCAGTTAGGTTTGAAACTTCCTCTGATTCTGCAAAGTCAACTTAATACTGTGAACTGAAATGAGAATAAAGAGAGTAATAGCTTTTTCAAAAGGTAACATCTCACAACCATTTCTCAGATTTTACTTCAAAGTTCCTTTTCTTCGGCAGTTTTGGTTAAGTAACTTTCAAACATCTTCAAAGGGATGAGGATAGATTCAAATTATTCACAGAAAATTTCCTGAAAATCCTTTTTCACCATGATCACAATTAAGAAGGATAAAAATCAGCTTTCTATTCCCTAATTTCAACTTCCTTATCCTATCTGTGAGCAACAGTTGCATCAAAAATACCACTGTCCATCAAACAGAGCACCAATACATCTCTTAGATATAACATATTTGTTGTCGATTCGTTGTTTCACGTGACATATCTCTTTTTATGCATTTTGATTCGCGGTATTGTGTAATTTGATTCGAGGTTTGAGAGCTCAGCATACCATAAGAAATAAACTTCCGGTACCCTGTTCGCGCATAATGAATTATTTTTGGAGGGTGGGGCCTCAGGATGAACTCCACCGAAAAAGAGCACCCTGAATAAGTCTGCCGCATTCGT